TGGGGCCAGTGTCTGCCTCTGCATGTTTACCAGTTTCTTGTTTCCCCCTGCAGAGGACCTGCTCGGCCCCCAGTGGTTGCGTGTGCTGGGAGATGCTGCGGAACGTCGTAGAGTGGGTCCATTCCCTCTGAATTGTGGTCGGTGTTGGTCTTTTGGGATGCCTACAGCTGTCAACTGCTGGACGCTGCAGGTGAGTGGCTGAGGCATCTCTGGTTGTAAAAAAGGAACTTTCTGGAAACTGCTTGTCATCTGCCTATTCCTGCTGCCCAGCCCCCTTCCCCGGGAGCTCTGCCCATGGCCACCTCCTGCTGATGTGGAGCTTGGAAACTATTTCTCCACTCAGTCCAGAGAGCAAGGGTTGCAAATAGACTAATTCCTGTTTGGTGAGTGAGGCTAAAGGCCCAGCCCTTCGCTGCTCCAAGGAGAAGATGGGTGTCAGATAGACAAGGTGCTGCCTCCCAGGTGGCCCAGGAGGAGATAAAGAGCTTGCAGGATTGAGTACTCAGGATGGGATCCTGAGAGCTGGGGCCACCGTGCCTCAGCCCCTCTGTGAATGCCACGCACAGTGTTCTACCCCTGAGTCTTGGTTTCTCTGCCTGCAAATGGGCCTGTCCGGTGCAGACTGGACTGTCTCAGCATAGCTGCAGCAGGACGGCAACCTGTAGCTTAACTACCCCACACTATGCTGCCCATGGAGCTCAGGGCCACATTTCACATGTGAAAGGACACATTTGCTTTTTCTAAAGCCAGCATGAGCCAGCAGGTGGCACACAGAGGGAGGTCCAGGGTGCTGCAGAGAAAGCAGTCAGTGGGTTGGGGTGGGAGGCAAAAGGCAGCCCAGCCCACACCTCCCTCTCCCTTCTGCCTGACCTCCTCCTGCTGGCAGGGCCACTGCCATCACCTCCACCCCTGCCTGTCCCTATGAACACAAGCTGCAGTGTGGGCATCCCAGGGCCTCTGAGTAGGTGATGTGGGTGCCCCAGGGCTCTTGCTGGAATGTTCTGCCAATGGCCTCTCCAGTCCCTTCCAGCAGAGGTGCAGACATGTGTCCAGCTTGGGCCCCAAGGTTCACTTCGCTCTTTAGTATGGTGGGGTCCTCTCTGCCCCCTCTTCACTACTCTCAGACCCCTCTCTTGGGAGAAGGGGCCGTGTCTAGTGAGAAGCACTGCCAACCCCCAGGGCTGGGGAGCGACCACATGAAGAGGCAGAGGTGGGTTGGTGAAGGACACAGTCAGCCTGGCCCTGCCTTTCCCCACTTAAAATGCTCAGGGGCTCCGCTGTCCACGGGGTCAGGTCCAGCCTCGCATCCTTGCCCTGCCTGGCTCTCTGGCCTCCGCTCCTGCATACTCTCTGGGCTGTAGACACATGGAACCTCTTTCGGTTCCAGAGTTTCAGCTCCTCTCAGCTCTGGGCACACCGTTTCCCCTGTCTACTTAGTTCTCACCTCCTCTCCTAGCTCCCTCCTGCTGGTCCCTCGGGTATCAACTGAGTGTTGCTTCCTCTGGGAAGCCTTCCCTGACCACCAGTCACCAGCCTGGGTGAGGGTGCTGCTTCTGTAGCATGCATGCTGCACTCACCCCCACCCTCTGTCTCACATACCTGTGCTGCTTGTCCCACGCCTGCCCAACAGATGCAGGCTCCTTGGGGCTGGGGCTGGGTTGGGCTCAGCTCTGTGTTTCTACCCCTATCCTTGGGACACAGTAGATCATGATAAATGGTCACTGAAAACATGAGTGAAAAGGATGAGAAAAGACCAGACAGAAGAGAGGTGAGGGTTTCCTAGGGTCCCCACCCATGAATAGATGTAAGAGAAGCCAACAGTGTCCCCCATCACTCTGGGGCCCAGGGAGCTACTGGCTGCCTGGTTTCTCCCGGCCACCCTGGGTGTCCCAGGCTCCAGACCTGGCCCCTACCCTGTGCTCAAGGAAATCAACCTGCAGGAGAGGGAGAGAGAGGAAGAGGGGGTCCTGGGTCTCCCTGAGCTCAGGGATGTGGTCCTCACTTCTGCCTCCCCAGGCAGAGGGCTCTGCACCCTGCCTGGGCACTGGCATGTTGGCAAGCGCAAGGAGACACAGGCATGGAAGCACAGGGAACCGAGATTTTCCAGAAATCACAATGGCCAGTCAGTCCCAGGCAGATGACTACCTGTGAAAAGGCTCATTGTCCCAGGCCCTGCTAGAACTTTTCCCACTCATCCTCCCAGCCCTGTCCCATCCCCGGCCACCTCCAGAGCATGCGCCGGGCCAACTCTCAGAGCTGGCGTCCCTCTAAGACAGGGGCTTCCCTACCTCGGAAAGTCACTTTGGCGATCCGGTCTCCCCTGCCCCGCAGCTCCGAGACCGTCTTGAGGTGGATGAGCAGGGCCATGCTGGTGTGAGCTGCCTGGCACTGCCAGGCAGGAGCAGCAGGAAGGAGCTAGCTGGTGGAGCGCGGCTCACACGCCTCTCTCTTCTCTGCTGCTGCCTCCTCCTCCTCCTCCCGACCCCCCTCCGATGCTGCCCACAGAGACCAAGGCAACCAAGCCGAGCTAAGCTGCTCCTGCAGCGACTCACAGAGCCTCCCAGCCCCCGCCCCTCCAAGTTGTCAGCCCAGCGTGTGTGTATCAGTGTGTGTGTGCGTGTGTGTGTGTGTGCACCCAGTGTGCAGCCTGGGAGTGCGGCAGAGTTGGAATTCATTATTTAGCAGCCGCCAGCTCCCAGATAAAGCTCTGTCCAGCCTCAGGTGTCTTCTCCTAGCTCCTGGAAGGGAGGCTCTGCCCACCCCTCTGCAGGGCTCTGCTGCTTCCCTACTAAGCAAGCCCTGCCACCAGCAGTGGGCACAGAGGAATGGGCATGCGCATGGGTGGGGTGGGTGTGGGGCAGGGGGCACTCCCACCCACAGGGGCACACTACAAGAAGAAGGAAATGTGTTTGTCCACCTATGCCCGCCTCTTCCCTGCTGGAGACTGTGCCCCCAAGAGGCTGGGCCCTGAGCCCTGCCCTGGGATCACTGTTTCTGAATCTCAGGAAGCAGAGAGGCTGGGGCTGCTGCCTGAGGGGAAGCTCAGGACCAGGCCACGCATGATGGAGACGCCTGGTTGTGGAGACAGCAGAGGCTTATGTGCTACGAGGGGCCATGTTTAAGGATCCAGGGCACTAACCTAGCCCCACCCCAAGGCTGGGGGTCAGGCAGGCTAGCGAAGGTAAGCCAGGCTGATGTTTGCTTTCCAGCCAGAGGAGCAGAATTGAATGGCCTTCTGCTCTTATAAGCTGCTAGGGGCAGGAGAAGGGGTATCTACAGTGAAATTTCTAAGGACCAAAGGAGAACTGCCCCCTCCTGTCTTCCAGCAGCATGCACCAAGGAAAGGGACCCTGGGGGCCAGAATCCCTGATGCTGGAGGCTGTGCTGGGTCATCTGCACCCTTGCTCTTGCCATTCGTTCTTGGTGGAATGCCCTCCACCCCATCCTGGACTCAGCTTGAGCGCCTCCTTCTGGAGGTGCCTCTGTACCTGCACCCCGGTTGGGTCGGGGTCCTCCTCTGTGCTGCTCCTGCCTCCTCTCATCTTACTGAGTCCTGGGGCTGCTTCCCTTGCCTCTTCCCCTACTGACCTCAGGAGGACCCTGGAGCACAGCATCCCTCTACCCCAGAGCCCCACATGGTATCCTGTGCACCGTAGAATGCCCAATAACTGTTGAAAGGAGAAAACAGTAAGCTCAGGGATCTACCTGAAACAGAGTCTAAAGGTTTAAAAGAGAAATACTAATTTTTCACAGCATGGTAACAAGAGGTTACTTCCTTTGAATTCTACATTCCAAATAACCTACAGTATGTCCCAAGAGCCTTCTTTCCTCCTTCTAGATATTTCCTTGCTACTGTGCCCTATTTTTTTTTCTACTTACGTTTTTTTTCCTTTGCCCTTTTTCCTAACCAATTCTTGCTTACCTTTCTCACATTTATCTAATCATAGCGAATTTAAAAATGTCTTAGAGTATTATGTTTATTGAATACAAGTGAATGCTAAATTTTCAAAACCTGGATAAGTTTAATGTCTTAAAAAAAAACCACCTAAACTCACTAGCATTTTCCATCCATGAGGTCATCAGGTGATCTGTGTTTTTAAGGCTTGGTGGCTACAAGGTAAAACAACAACAACAGAAAATATCTCCTTCCTTGGTTCTCTGGAGGTCCTCCCCTGAAGGGAGTGAATTTCATGAGGCCTCTTACAGACCCTGTGCATCTTTAAGTAAAAGCCCATGAACCTGCCCTAGCCAAGGCATTGATCTCTGCTGAATCTCACTTTCCACATCCATAAAATGGTGGCAATTTCACTCACCAGCTCTCAATGGAGTCAGCTGACCCTTCTGAAACCTAAGACAGATCCCCCTTTTTTTTTTTTTTTTTTTTTTTTGAGACAGAGTCTCACTCTGTCACCCAGGCTGGAGTGCAGTGGAGTGATCTAGGCTCACTGCAACCTCTGCCTCCCGGGTTCAAGCAATTCTTCTGTCTCAGCCTCCCGAATAGGTGGGACTACAGGCATGTGCTACCACACCCAGCTAATGTTTGTATATTTAGTAGAGACGGGGTTTCACCATGTTGGCCAGGCTGGTCTCGAACTGCTGACCTGCCTTGGCCTTCCAAAGTGCTGGGATTATGGGTGTGAGTCACCGTGCCTGACCAGATCCCACTTTTTAGTGTCTATTCTTCTGTTACCCATTTTGGTAACTGAGTATATAATTTATGTAACGAACGTTTACTGAATTCTTTCCAGAGCCAGGTGCTGAGATTCAGGGATGAATATGATATGGATGGCACAAGATCCCAATCAGATGAGACAGATGGACTAGAACACAGGCAGGTGGAAGGCAGGGTGGTGGATTTACCAGCAGGACTGGTTGGGCAGCCCTGAATGGGGGAGGGAGTAGGTGGTCAACCTCACCAGGGCTGGGGGTTTGACTCATGTTTTCCTTATTGTAGAACATGTTCCCCAATGAGAATAGAGAAAAATACAGACATGACTACATTCTGAAGGATAGATGGAGTTTCCTTCCACCCAGTTTGTTTGCAGCCATTCCTTTGCCTACAGCTTTCCCTTTCCCAGCAGGCCTCAGTGTTTCTGCTTCTTGAGCCTCTGGGAACCATGTGGCTCCCCTCCATTTCACTGGCATTTGCCAGGGGGAGTCTTTGGAGAATCCTGGTGGCAGCATCCTGTGAACCTAGTAGCGCCTGTGGTCTTCATCCACTGCCATTTACAGAACCGAAGTGTGAAGGGAACACTGCTCTCCATCTGGCATCTAAAGGGAAGAAGCAAGATCCGGAGATGAAGGGGGAACTGCCAGGCTTCTTCATGACACCAGGACTGCTGCAGAGGGAGCTGGGGTGGCAGGGTCGCCACCCGAGTCACCAAGAGCCTGGCACCATGGAAGCTGTCCCCATACCCTCACGCCTTATGAAAAACCCAAAGGCCCTGGCCCTGCCCTAGGCACCAAGGCTGGTGTGAGGGTCCCTAGAGAAACCCGGGTGAAGCAGTCCCAGGGAGGGAGGGAGGCAGGATTACACAAGGGGGTGGGCCTTCAGGAGGCCTGCTCTCTGGGGCAAGCGCCACCCCTGCAGATGCCATCCCCAAAATGAACGGCAGCATTGGGGACAGATGTAAATCACACACCCAGACGTTCTATGATTTTCTTTTTGCCCCTTACCAACAAAACTCCTTTTATGGAGTAGTTTGAGGGTATGATGAGGTGAGAAGGTAGCCACTAGCTAGAGATTAAGGAGAAACATGAAAAATGCCCCTCTTCGCAACCCGCGCGCACACACGCACGCACGCACGCGTGTACACACACACACATACACACACATAATTATGCACAGCGTCCTAGGCAACCACGCCCAGCACGGCCCACTGCAAAGCCCCTTCCTGGAACCCCCATAGAGCTGGGGTGCAGGGGAAGCCTTGAAGAGACATAGCTCCTGGGGACCCTTCGGCTACTCAGGTTTCTGGGCCTGAGCCACGGTGGGGCAGCTGCTTTGCGCGTGGCCTCCAAAGTCAGGACCTGGCCTGTCCTTTGTGGTAGGGTCGCGTTCCAAGCCGGGTCACCGCAAGACGGATCCCGCGAGGCCTCTACAGCGATTTTCTGCCTCTGTCCCGCATCCGAGCCTCTGCACATCCCGCACGCAGCAAGGCAGAGAGCCCGATGCGTAGGGGAGAGTGACAGGGGTCACCCAGCAGAGCTCGCGGAAATGGGAGGCGCCTTCTGTGCGCGCCCTGTGGGGCTGCTCCGGGAGAGGGCCGCCAGAAGGGCGCAGTGTCCCGGAACGCGAGGACAGCGGGGCCAGCTGGCGTTGCCAGGAGGGCCGCCGTGGCCGTGGCCGTTGCCGGGTGACCCGCCGCTGTTTACCGTGGGGCGGAGCGGAGCGCCAGGCTCGCTGCACTCGCGCACCCACCATGGCCTCCCGCAGCGCGGGCACCCTACTGACCGAGTTCAATGCCGCCTACGTGCCCCCTGGCCTCATGCCCGGGTAAGGCCGCGGGTGCGCCTCCTCCCCTCCCCCTTCCGCTAGCGCCCTCGTCGGTGGTCGAAACTCAGCCCTCTGCCCCCGATTCTGGGGTTGAAGGAACCCCGAGGAGCCGATTTTCCACCCGACGGGGCGGGGGGCATTCCCGGGGATTTGTGGTTTCAGAGTAGGAAGTGGGCGGGCACGGGCGGGGGTGTCCCCAGATTCCCCTTCGTAGGAAGGCGCTCCCTGGCAAGTGGGGCACAGCCAGCAGGGGGTAAGGGACCTCCCGTGGACCCAGCCGGGGAAGAGGGAGGAGATGGAGTCACGTGGGGTTTAGTGCTTGGAGACGCCCCAGGCGGGCAGCCTGCAGGCTTAGAAAGAATGCAAGAAAAAGCAGGCCCCTCTGCCCCGGGCACAGGGCCAGCTCCCAGCGTTCGGGCAAGGTCAGTACTTGTTGGTTGAAGGAGGGAAGGATATCGGGTGGGTGCGGGTTCGAAGAGCCTGGCGAGGCCGCAAGAGCGGTAGTTAATGGGTCATGCATGCAGTACCCGCCCAACTTTGCGGTCGGTCCTTTCACCGATCTCCCTTTATCCTCCCAGAAGTTTTTCTTGGAAAGCTTCCTGGCCACTTGCCCTGAGTGCTGGCTTGCTGTTTAGCACTTTCAAATGCTAGGTTACACCTACCTTTCTTTTCTTTGGATATTTTCAGACTCCAAACATCTAACATGCAAGTCTGGCTGTTCCCTCCTGTTCTTTGGCTCTTTCTCCCACAGTGTCTGATGTTTCTACTCCGGACCGCCTCTCCCAGGGTGTAAGGCTGTCTTTATCCCTCCTACCAGTCAGCATGGGTGCTGAGAACAGGCACTGGATTCTGAGAGGCAACCTGTACAATATCAGCAAATCTATATAGAATGAATGAATGATCCTAAGATCCCTTGTCTGAAAAAAAGAGTGAACGAATGAACGAAATGAATGTCTTGAGGGTTCTACAGGCAGGGTCTCCAAACAGGTGAAAAAGCCCACATGCTCTCCCCTGCAAACGGAACAGATGGCAAAATGAAGAAAAGTGTATTTGGTATGAAGTTGGGATTGTTTTGAAGCAGAATAAGCTGGACACTGAGGTGCTGTGACATTCAAATCATTTCTGGACACTGCATGAGAAAGTAGCAACCAGGGGCTGGTGCTGTAGTTTTAACCCAGCCCATTTGTGGATGTGACCTTTTTCTGGGCCCTGGAGAGAGCTTGCTGCCTGCAGGATGTGTAGAGGCTCAGATGTCCACCCGGGTTCCCATCAGACAAAGCTGATATACCAGATCATGGTAGTTTCCTGAAACCAAGCCAGGTGACTTAGAATTTGCCTGTTTTCCTTTATTTAAGGCATTCATGTGGATCAGTGCTTGGGACACACCAGGTGTTATGTTAGGAGGCTGGGAAGACAAAGACAAACAAGTGGGGGGCTGCCCTAGTGTGGTGTAAACACATAAGGTTTAGTTCAAATCCATTTTTGCCACCTTGGATGGTGGTGTTGACACCACATTCTGGGTGTTTATCATAAGATTTGATTTTATACATTGACTTTTTTTCTTAAGCCTCCCACAATATCCAGTTGGAAACTTTTCAGTTATCTGACTCCTGGACATTTCCCATCTGAGGGGCAAGGCCCAGTGCTCCTGCAAACCCTGCCCCGGAGTTCCCCCACTCTGTTTGGAAGGGGTGGGAGCTGCAGGTTTCAGAAGCAGTCCCCAGGGTGCTTTCCTATTCCTGCCACTTCTCGGCAGTTCCCTTGAGTGCCCTGTCCTGTGATTGATTTAGAAATGGCGATAAGAGGATCATGCATGAGGTTTCAAGCCTGGACTGGGCTAGTTTGAGCAGCTGAGCCCGTATCTGCTGATTTCTCATCTGGATCTTTCTGGAAGGGATGTGTTCCCCTTAAAGATTCCCATCAGTGAGGAATGAATTGAGTCGTTTTGTGTTTCCAAATGCTACCTCATTGGCAATTCTGTCAAGTTAATGAAAGAACCCAAGATTCCTGACCACACTTGGAAAATTACTATTTTTGTGTGTCTGTTCAAACACTAATTACAGGATTTTAAAGCGCAGCCAGTCTCTTCTTACACTCAGATCACCCCCCTCTTACCTGCTTTATTTGTAAAGGCAGAGAATATTCATGCTGGTGTGGACCTCAGAGATCATGTAGCCCCGTCCCCTCCTGTTCCAGATGTGGTCACTGAGGTCTGGGGGGACTTGCCTGAGCCCCACGCTGGTGATGGAAGTGCTGGGCTGGAGCCAGGTCCCTAACGCCTGTAATAACACCGTGATCTCCTAAGTCTGAGCTCCAACTACGTGCCAGGCACTGTGCTGGGCCCTTTACAACATTTTCTTCTTCTTCTCCTTCTCCTTCTCCTTCTTCTTTTACTTCTTCTTTTTTTTTTTTTTTAAATGGAGTCTTGCTCTGTTGCCCAGGCTTGAGTGCAGTGGCGCAATCTTGGCTCACGGCAACCTCTGCCTCCTGGGTTCAAGCAATTCTCCCTGCCTCAGCCTCCCGAGTAGCTGGGATTACAGGCACACACCACTATGCCCAGCTAATTTTTGTATTTCAGTACAGATGGAGTTTTGCCATATTGGCCAGGCTGGTCTCAAACTCCTGACCTCAGATGATCCACCCGCCTTGGCCTCCCAAAGGACTGGGATTATAGGCATGAGCCACCATACCTGGCCTTTCTTCCTTCCTTCCATCCTTCCTTCCTTCCTTCCTTCCTTCCTTCCTTCCTTCCTTCCTTCCTTCCTTCCTTCCTTCCTTCCTCCCTCCCTCCCTCCCTCCCTCCCTTCCTTCCTTCTTTCTTTCTTTCTCTCTTTCTTTTTTTGAGACAGAGTCTCGCTCTGTCGCCCAGGCTGGAGTGCAGAGGCACAATCTCAGCTCACTTCTTCTTCTTTTTAAAAATCATCACAATAACTCAGATAAGGAATGAGCAGCTTGCCCAAGTCATTCAGCAAGTTGCTGAGCCTCGTCTTTGTGACTTCAACACCCCAACTCACCCCAATATCTCCCCAACCCTCATGTGGCATTTCACCTGCCTCCCTCATTTAGCAGGGAGGGAATGGGGTCGACAGTAAGAGATGGACTCTGGACCCAGCCTGCCTGGTACAAATCCTGGCTCCATCACTTCCTTACCCTGGGCAGGTTATTTACCTCTCTGCCTCACCTACCTTGTCTGTTCAATGGGGATGATCATGGTGTGCAGCTTGAAGAGGTTTCAGTTAGTTAACATGCCTAAAGCCTGGCACTTGGTCATTGTTAGCTGTTATCATTCGTTAGATCTCTACTGTGTTCAAGACCTGGTTCCAGGAACCCCGGGAAACACGAGACAATAACAAAGCTGGTCTTCAGCCTCGCCGGCCAGGGCGCTCCATTTGGTCCCTTGCCGTTCCTGGGGACACAGCTCCTAGGCACTTTGCCACAGGCAGTGCCTGCCTGCGCCTGGCCTGGGTGCTATTCCCGCAGTGGGCAGGAGCTCTCGGGTCAGAGTCCCTGAGATTTGAAGGGGTTTGAAGGGATGAGATTGGCGTCAGTGAGGATCCAAGCTTCCTGCTTGCAGGATCTGGGTGGCATCCACTCCTCATTCTGTTTCCGGCCACGCCTCACCCGGCTCTCAGTGCAGACCCCTGGCCTGCACCATGCATTCATTCATGCCCAGACTGCCCCTGTGCCCCATGCCCACAGCTCCTGCCCAGTGGCTGTCACCAAGAGTGAGGGAAGGAGGATTTGCCTCCCAGCCCCTCTCTCTGTCTGCCTGGGGTGGCAGTTGTGCCCGCACCTGTCACTGAGCTGGACCTTGGAGACCTCAGGGGCCTGTGATCTTAAAATCAGTGTGTTCCACTCAATTGTCAGGAGAGTGGTCTCACAAAGGTGGTTGTGTCCCCATCCCTAGAATCCCTGTACAGCAAACACACACAGTGGTGTGCTGGCAAATGTTTAACAACCAGTTCTCTGGAGCAAAACTGCTTTGATTTGTAACATTCATCCATATCTGTGGTATAAATACTCTCACCAAAGCTGATTTCAAACTATCAACATAGTGTCCTTAATTGCAGAGTTGGGGAGGGATGAATGCACAGCTGTGCAGCATTATATAATATTTCCACCCCACAGATACGGTGGACATGACAACCTCAAACACAGGTGATAGTAACGTGGTAAAATAATTAGGAAGTGAGGAGTTTTGACTATTTATCTCATTTGGTTTTAGTGTGTTTTTCTTCCCTCTGAGACAGAGCCTTACTCTGTCACCCAGGCTTGAGTGCAGTGGCACGATCACAGCTCACTATAGCCTTAACTTTCTGGGCTCAAGTGATCCTCCCATCTCAGCCTCCTGAGTAGCTGGGACCACAGGTGTGCACCACCATGCCTGGCTAATTTTTGTATTTTTTGTAGAGACAGGGCTGCCCAGGCTGGTCTCGAACTCTTGGGCTCAAGCCACTTGCCTGCCTCAGCCTCCCAAAGTGCTGGGATTATAGGAGCCACCATGCCTGGCCTAATAGAACATATTTAATTGTAATTTAATATAATTTGATATTTAATACTGGCTTGTTTATTAACAGACTTAACAAATTCCTGAAAATTTAGAAGTTGATTCCCTTGAAGCCAGTAGGCACTGCCTGCAGCCCACGACTGCCTGCAGCCCACTACTGCATGCCCCTGTGATACGGTTTGGCTGTGTCCCCACCCAAATCTCATCTTGAATTGTAGTTTCCATAATCACTACATCACAGGAGGGACCAGGTGGAGATAATTGAATCATGGGAGGAGTTCCCCCATCTTGTTCTCATGAGA